CCCTGCCCAGGATCACCTCAGATCAGGCCAGCCAACCCCACACTCTTGTGGAAAATGCTGAATGTTGCGACCCTGGCACCTGGAACAGTTTCAATTGCTCTGACCAAGGGGACCAAGCAAGTAGCAACGTGGAGCCTCCTGGGGTAAGGTTAAATTAAGCCCCTAACAATTCCTACCTGCTGAACTTAATTACAGCCATTAAAATTCTTGAAGCTGTTCCTTCTTGCTTCCTTCCTTCCTTCCTTCCTTGCTTCCTCCCGCTGGAGCTGGGAAACTGTTTTAACAAGTCACAGCCATCTTCACTCTGTCCCACTTTACACCCCTCTAATTAAGGGCTCAAGCATTTGCTCCAGATTAACTTTTTCTTCTCTCTCCCTTCCCCTGACTCCCAAACATCTAAACCTGTTCACAGAGCAACTTTCAATGCTGCCTCTGCTTTTTTAAAAGCAGGCATAAGGAAGCACTTCAGCTGGTGGGCATGATTTGCTTCCCTGTGTGCACACAGGGAGACAGGAAGCCAAAGTCTCTTGCACATTTTCTCTTGAACGCTGAGCTGCTTGCTTGACAAGCTGATGCCTTTTGGGACAGGCAGTGAACTTTTTCTGTGCCTCCGATACCAGTGAGAGGCTGTTGTCCCTATTACAGGACAGGACTGTCCGGGTCCATGAGGCCTGTGGCATTTTCATCTCCTGCTCACCTAGCATAACCCAAATCTGGCACTGGCTGGCCCCACCTGGCCCAGCAGAACCACCCAGGGCCAGGAATTCCTGGGACAAAACTGTTAGCCTAGGCCCTAGCTAGCTAGGATTTCATTCCATCTTGCAGGAATTTTTTCCTTTTACCACATGGTTTGGGGAGCGGGAAGATGAAACATTAACCAATTTGGCCTTCTCTCTCTCCCTCTCTCCCTCTCTCTCCCTCTCTCTCTCTCTCTCTTTCGTCCCACTTGCCAGATGATGACTAGATATTGTGGGTTTTATTTTGTTTTTTGGTTTCATGTGATCACACAGAGGCTTAGAAGTGAACTGACTTTTTGTTTATGAAAAAGCAACAATGCAAGGAAAAGAAAATAATACCAAAAAGAGAAAGAGAACTTGGACTATTTATCAGGGCACACATGCACACACACGCACACACACAAGTTAACTGCTGGAAAAAGTATTGGGACATGGAAAATCTTTTTAAAAACAACAAAACAACCCCCAGTGTCAAGGAGAGGACGTCTTACAAGTTTTGCATTTAACGTTCCCCAGTGCTCAAGTCCCAGGTCTCGCTAAGTCCTAGTTTTCAGTAAACCGCCATGGGGCAACAGACAGCTCTGTGAGGCTGCCAGACAGAGTCGAAGAGCAGATGGCTTCCACCTTTCACACCCCTGGCAACCTTCGCATCTAGGGTTTCCAGAGTGGCCCTCGAAGGCAGCCAGGTCACAGTAAAGAACACTCCCAACCTCCATCACTGCCCAAGTTCAAAGTGGGCCCCCAGGTGGACGGTAAAGCCCTGGATTCAAGTCTCACCTCCAAGAATACCAAGGGTCACCACCTTTTTCTATAAAAGGCCAGAAAGTAAATACCTTCAGCCTTGGAACCCTACACAACTACTCAACTCTAAGCTATCTTGTGGAGCCCTGGACAACAGAGAGGCAGACAGGCAAGGCTGTGTTCCATGTAACTTTACTTCCCAACACTAAAACTTGAGTTTCATGTGATTTTCACATCTCTCTTTTGATTTTTCTTAACCATTTAAAAAGTAAAAGCCATCGTTAGCTCGCATGCCATATAAAGACAGGTGGTAGGCTGAGCTCTGTGACCACCAGCAAGAATCATTTCCTACTTCTGGGGTTGAGTTGTCCCATCTGTAGAATATGGGGATACTGTTAATGTCCAAACGGTCACTTGGCAAGGCTGGGCAGTGTCCTGGCTCATGCTGCGTCATTACAGGCTAACAGTCTCTCAAGAGAGGAGCCTGATACAGACCATGAACGCTCATTCTGGGCTTTTCTTTGTTCCTCTAATGGTACTTGGGATCTTCTAGACACCTCGCATCATAGTGCTGATTGAGGAAATGCTGAGATAGGCCTATGGCTACAGTCGGGGAGCTGTGGGTTGGATGGGGACTGTCTGGGTTTATGCCTCCCTCCTCCCCCTCTCACTGCTTCCTCATCATCCTACCAGATGACAGCTCCAGGTCCCCAGTAAACTAAATAAAGTTCCTCTCTGTGGACAAGCAACCTTCTGGAACAAACAAAGGGAAGCCACTGATTCATCCCCTAGAGGGACAGCCTCTGCCCTCCCCACAGGAGGTCAAACTCCCTTGGGGAACTTAGTGGGCACTCCTGACCTCATGAGGGTGGGAGCTGGAAGGAAAACCTGGTGGGTCCCTGAGAGTCCAGGACACTCAGAAGTGGCCTCCCAGATGGTATGCATACTCCTGGGAGGACGCCTTTACCCAAACCAGCAAACTGGCTGTCTGGTCTCTCAGGAACAGTCAGTATCAATACCATGCCATCTGACTTTGGAAGCCTGCACCCCATAGGTCACAAGGCAGTTCTCCTGGGACTGTTAAGGCCGCCTCGCCCCACTGCCGGCACTCTATAGGCTCCACCATCACTCTGGCTCCCATGGTGCTCTGGGTTGCATTGGAGAGACAGCTCAGAGAACCAAGGGACTAGCACCTCAACCTTTAAAAATACATGTGATGGACCGGAGGTGTGGCTCAAGTGGTAGAGTGCCTGCTCTGCAATCATGAAACCCTGAGTTCAAACTCTAGTCCCACAAAAAAAAAAAGCAAAGAAAGAGAGAGAGAGAAAAAGAAATGCCTTAGAACTACATGTGCCTGCCCCAGAATGCAAGCCCTAAGGTTTCACAGAACACATGGCCTGCCTCTGAGTGGGACTTGTCTAAAATGACATTACCCACCTCCACTAGGGCAGGGGACAGCCCACCATAGTTCATCCTTTCTACCTGTCCCCAGTGCTGCTTCTGCCCAGGCGAACATCTTGGTTGAACATGGGTGGGAGGAGTTGGCGGGGAGGGAAGATATGACATACAGTTCCTCACAAGAAAAGCTTGGTGACCAATCTGTCTGTCACACTGCTCATTAGTACACACGAAGGGAGAACAGCGCCTGGCTAGGGGAGAGAGAGAAGAAAAGAAATCCAGGAATTCCAGCCCACCTCCAAGGGCTGCCTAAGTCAGAACCCATTCATCTCTGAGGGGCCCATGTTTAAAGGTCACAGAAAGGTTAACGATGAGCCTGGAATTTCAAGATGTAAATAGAGGGCTGCAGCAGTTGGTTCTGCTTTGGCCCAACCGTGGGAGTGTTTGTAAAACTTTGCCCCATTTCAAAGCACTGAAGGGGACACACTTACCCAGTGGCTTGTACTCGTCGCGAGGGGACAGCCGAGAGTAGGGGGGTGGCGGTGATTCTGGAAAACAGGAGACAACATGTCATAGGCTGGTTCACACCTGGACTTCTATGTGCTTTTAATTACTGGTCTCCTCAAATAACTCCAGGCCTCAGGTCACCCTCTGTCTCCTACCACCTCTGCCGCCCAAATCCACTGCAGTAGTGAACGCTCACTCCTCCCCTGGCTGTGTGAGTTGAGGCAAGTTACCTCACCTCTCTGAGTATTTCCTCAGCTAGAAAAAGGGGACAGCAATCATATAGACAAGACCCCCCCCCATTTTGCGGAGAGGGCAAAAGAAGATAATGTGTATAAAATGCTTAGCACAGCTCTTGGCACCACAGAAAAACAACTCCATAAAGAGTACCTGTTATTATTATTATCATAACAAGAAAACATCGGTGCAGGGGAAGTCAGAGCTAAGGCTGCCAGATAAAATACAGGATGCTCCGTTCAGTGTGAATAGGGGATAAACATGGCATGCTTTTGTAGTAAAGTATATCCCTGGCAATATTTGGGATATATTTATGCTTGACTGTTAAACTGCTTATGTGAAACCAAAGTTGAACCCAGTATCCTGCATCTTAACTGCTAAATTTGGCAAGCCTAGTCAGAGCTGAGGATTAGTACAGAGGACCCGACATGAAAACTTGTCCCAAACAAGCTGAATTAGAACTACCATTCATGGGTGTAGGGAGGTCAGTGGGGCTGGCTGGAACCCAGGAGCCAAACCAAGCTAGGTACCTGGATAGCAGACCTTAAATCAGTCACTTCCAGTTCCTGGCCTCAGTCTCCCCCTTTGGAATGAAGAAGCAGGGATGGGACACAGCCTTCCAGCCCAAACCCTGTGATTCCTATTGTCTATGGAGTTTTCCTCTGGGTTTCTTTCATTTGCCTAAAATACTCCTCCTTAAAAATATATACTTTGCCTTCAGAAGAATTTCTTAGTCTCTTGCTTTAGGGGAAGCAACAATTTGCTAAACTAAGTAACAATTTGCATGAATGAAATGACCCTTCATTTTCCATAAATGAAACTAAACACCATCGAGTGGCAAGCTAAAGCAATCTCTGTGGTAGTAAAGTGGTAATAACTATTATTAGGCTGGTATCAGGAATGACACAGGGGGTAATGAGTGTTTTTGCAATTATAATAGGGCACTCCTAGTTGTAGGAGCATTTGCTGTGCTCCATACACCCAAGGAAGCTTCACCTCCTCCCACCTGGCCTTTCCAGTTGGAAGTGACTTCAGCAAAGGGGAGGCTCAGAACAGTCTAGAGGTCTAGAACAGTGACACTGTGGACAGTGGTCAGGGAGAAGGAAAGGTAAATAATGGCACAGCCACCAGAGAAGACATGGACATCCACTCCATGTTTACCCTGGGTCTCGTGCCATGCCAGGCACTTCCAATTTTACGTATTACATTTTATTCTCACAAACCTCAAGAACAGAGAGGGGTTAATCACACTCATCGGGTATCTACTTGTATCTAAGAAAGATGTCATTATCATTCCCATTTTACAGATGAGGAAACTGACTTGCCCTATCCCCTAGCCAATCTGGTGAAGCTGGGATTTGCGCACAGGGAATAAGGAGGACCCCATCTTACAGCCCTTCCTCCTTATCAGGTCCTGCACAGCAAGGGCTCACTTGATGTTTGTGGACAATGATGGTGGGGATGAAGATAACAGTCACATCTGTGGACAAAGGTATAGACAGAGAGGACCTGAGGGCTAAAGGCAACCTACCAGGGACCTCAAATAAGATTCAAAGATGACAGTTGTTTCCCTTCAGTAGGAGCCACCTGAAACTCTGGTCCTCCTGGGCCTGAGTGAGGACCAGAGCCTGGCCTGGGAAGGCCTTTCCACAGAGAAAGGGAACAGAGCCAGGGCTCCCACTGTAGAGGTGACTGAGGCCTGGCGTGTGGAAGTGACACCTACAGGAACCCACTGTGCAGCCAGAACCAGACCCAGGTGACTGACCTCCAGCCTTGCACCCTCTTCATCATCCCACAGATGTGTCAGAAAGCCTGCAGTCACTGGATTAGGGTGGTTGTTGCAAAACTCTGACTGGCTGAGGCCCAGCAGCATATGGCATGGCACTCTGGGCACTTGCCTCCCACATCTGCCCCAAAGGGGAAGCTTGGCAGCCATGGAGGTGGTAGTGGGAGTCAAGTTACTGTCACCAGCCCCAGCATCTCTTATGGGACTTTACCTGAGACCCAAATGATGGAGGGTGGGAGGGGTTTACAAAGTTTCTCCTGCAGAAGCCACACCTGAGTTGGGGATTCCTAATTATGCCATCAGAGGGACAGAAAGAAAAAACATAAACCTGAACGGCAGACATGCCAGCTAATAAAGAACAGCCAAGGCTTTGGGAGAGACTTCAACTAATCACAACTCCAATCTAGACAAGTAGAAAGTAGGAAGGTTTTTAGTCTCTACTCCATAACACACAGCTTTGGAAGGTCAGACCAGGTAATCCTTTTTTTAAAAAACTGAGATAGAATTCACAGACGACGAGATTCACCCTGTTAAAGGATATACTTTAGCGGTTTTTAGTATATTCAGAGTTTTAGGACCATCACCACGATCTAATTATAGAACTTTTTCATCACCACAAAAAGAAACCCTAACCCCATTAGCAGTCACTTCCTATACCTCAAACCCCAAACACAGGCAACCACGAACCTACTTCTTTCTCTATGATTTGCCTATCCTGGAAGTTTCAAGCATATAATATGTAGCCTTTTTGTCTGGTCTCTTTCACTTAGCATAATGTCCTCAGGGTCCATCCATGCTGGATACAGCAGTGTCCACACTTCACTCTTTATGGCTGAATGATATTTCTTCATGGGGACAGATCGCATTTTGTGTAATTCATCAGCTTATGGACATTTGGGTTGTTTCTACTTCTGCTGTAATGAATGATATGCTGTGAACAATCCTGAATAATTCTTAACTGCCACCCCACAGGTCAGGCCACCCAGATTTGAGAGATGGGGCCCCAGGACACTAACTCAGGTAGGCTAGATGGGCACTGTGATAGGTAAACAAAAGGTCAGAAGAGAAACTTTGAATTGCCACCAGACTCTCTGTCCACTACCCTCTTAGAAGATGTCCTAGCACTTGTAAAAGTTGTGCTGATTTTAACAGAATAATGGAAATGCTGTAAATTTTAACTGTACTCTTTGAGCCCTGCAGGCCCCTCAGAAAGCAGGGGGCATGGTAGAGAAAGACATCACAACTCCAGCCCCTTAGACCTCCAGCTTGAGGCTTGGACTCCAGGAATGTCTTCCAACTTCCTTCAGAAGCACGAGCAGTCAGCCAGGGGCTGAGTGCATAGCCAGGCTAGTCCTCAGCTCAGCCCAGCCCAGCCCAGCCCAGCCCGGGCTGCCCTCAGTCATCCCTCAGGGGGTACTTAGCCTTCTGAGATCTAGACCTACCTTTTTTAAGCCAGCAGAGAGTTCACAGCCTCTCCCTGTGCCTGGCAAAGTTTCAGTTTGGGACACTACCTTCCACCCCCATCTTTGCAACCCAGCATCTTGCTGGGAAAGGATCCACGTGCCTCCCTGGGCCTCCAAGTTTTCCCCTCCTAAGGGGTGGCCATGGATGGAGAGGGGGACCCCCAGGCGCCTGTCCCTTCCTCCCCCAGAAGGCTCAACCCCAGGCCCCAGGATGGGAGAACAGAAAAGCAGCTCCTGGCACTTTAAGGGCTGTGGAGCCTAATTGCCCAGATTCCCCCGGCAGCCAGATAAACAGCACAGCCGGCTGGCGCCAGCAAGAGGCAAACTGCACATTATCACCCCTTCCTCACCTCCAGGATGAGCAGACAGGCCCAGGGGCGAGTGAGTAGGGCGCGGGGTGGGGGCTTGGAAGCCCAACTTGAAATTGATCTTATTTCAAAGGGATAATGCCAGGCCAAGGAAAAGGAAACCTTTCTAGCCCGTTCTAATTCCCCCACGCCTGGCCTGGGAACCCTGTGTTTTCCTAGGCAGCCTCCTCCAGTCGTTTAGAAGTTCTCTCTCACTCTGTCTCTCTTTCCCGGGCACAATTTGGATAATAGTAATTTACTCAATATAATTACAGAAAAAAAAAGTAGTGAAGCAAAGAGCAGGAGATTTCTTCCAAAGTTAATGGATACTTTCAGGAGAAAGGAGCTCTATAAACACAGGTCAGAACTGTGATTAAAGTATTTCTCCACATTTCCGTCCACATAGGCACCCACCCGGCTCAGCAAAAGGCACCAAGGGAAGCAGAGCCCAGGCGACTCCCAGGGGCCTCAGGACAGTGCTCATGACAGAGACTGGCACCCAGGGCGGGGCCTCTGCAGAGCACCCCAGTTTCTATGACAAGTGGGGAGGAGGAAAATGGAGGAGGAGGGAGGCAGGGGTAGCCTGGAATCTGCCCTCTGCCCACAGACGTCAAGGACTCCATCCAACCCCAGAACTTTATAGAGGGGAAAAGAGGCCCAGAGAAAGGCACTTGCCCCAAGGCCCCAAAGCAAGCTGGTAGTTGGAGGAGTGGCTTCAAACATCATCTACACTGCCCAGGAAAGGGCTTCTCCAGTCATTGGGATTCCCTGTGGGTTGGGGGTGGGGCAGGGGTGATTGATGTAATTTACCCTAGCTAAGTGCCTGCTCAGTGTGTGAGTCTGTCTGTCTGTCTGTCTGCCTGTCCCATGCCCGAGCCCTCTCCCCTGGAACTAGAAGGCGCAGTCTCCTTATCAGGATGTGCACGGCTGAGCCCCAGCTATGCGCCCGCCCAGCAACAGGAGCCAGGCTGGCGGCCAGGCTGGGGGGGGGGGGCTGGGTGGGTTGAGGGGTGGCTGTGGGGGGCGGGCAGCAGAGGGTTTCCCCAGTTCTCAGTTCTAGCACAGGCAAAAGGGTCAGCAGGGCATACTGGCAACCTTGCCTCTTCCATAACTGTCAGTATTCCGAGTGCTGACAGCTGACAGCCCCCATTGGGGACACCAAGGGGGACCCCAATAGGACCTCACAGGCCAGCACCTAATAGAAACAGCCCCCCAGTAGCTCCTCCTTCTGGAAGGAGGAAGGGAGTCAAGTCCCAATATGACATCAGATATGGAGACTGGCCATAGAGAAACAAAGAGGAAATGTAATTCATCCAAGGTCAGGTTAGGACCAGGTCCTATGGTTGAGAACAAAAAAGGTCTGGTGGAGTGGCTCAAGGTGTAGACCCTGAGTTCAAACCCCAGTACTGGAGGGAAAAAAAAAAAAAAAAACCGTTCCACTGTGGTTTGCCAGGACTCTCTCAACCTCTACCCGCCCAAACTTAAATCAACACCTGCACCAACTCCCAGGACAAGGAACAGGAGGGGGCCCTGTTGTCTTCACTTCTGGCCTACCCATCTGAGCTAGCCATGCCATGCCTTGCTCCTAGCTCTGGAGCGCGCTCTCTCTCTCTCTCTCTCTCTCTCTCTCTCTCTCTCTCTCCTTCCCCTCCTCCCCTTTGACCCTCCCCTTGTCAAAGTCTGCTTCAGGTTAGAGGTGTGGCACTCCTGATCCTGTTACAACACTGACCTGGCACTGCCCACCTCCCTTCTATCCATCTTTTCCTATCTCCCCCTGAGGATCAAGAAGGCATAGATCCTACTCACATTTTCCCTCTGCACAGTGCGTGGCACAGAGGAAGTGCTCAGCAAACATTTGCTAGTACACTGACGGAGAGAGAAAGAGAAAATACCTGCTCGCACCTTCTAGAAGAGTGGAATGTGCCCCACCATCCTGCTCCCACTAGAAAAATAACTGAGGCAACCCAACCACGAATACGGCCTCCTTCTCCAGAGACAGGAGAACAAAGGGTGGCAGAGGGGAAACAGTTTATTCAGGGGAAGCTGTGGGGAAGAGCTGCTAGGCATAGAAAACCCAAGGTGGGCTACAGCTCCAGGACTGCCTGAAGCCCCTAAATTTAGCCAAGAATGACCATTTGGGATGCAGGTCACCCCCACCATCAGTGCCCTCTATTTAGGAACCATCACTGCAGAGAAACTTCCTTTTCCTTCCATCCACTAACACTGTCTCTCTCTCACACACACACACACAGGCACACACAAAACACCTGGGAGGAACCCATGCTCCAAGGACCACCTTCTTCCACCCTGACTGAGGAGACCTGTGCTCTGGCCACTGGTGTGCACCCAGGCTGGGTGCTGGCTGTCCATGGAAGTCAGACTGAGGAACCCAGAGCCCTCCCAGGGCCTGTAACTCTGCCAATCCCATCCCTAGAGGTCCCCAATGCCACCTAATGGATTCATATGCACCCTGCAGGAGGCAGGAGACTGCAAGCTCCCCACCTGCAGGGACCTCTGCCTGTCCTCACCCATCTGTCCTCACCTGGGCTCCAGCACCCAGCCCCTCAGGTAAGCCAGACCCAGGTGGGGTGTGTTCAGGAGATCCCAGGAGAACGGGGTGGGGGGGCAGTTCTCAGAGGAAATAAAATACCCGGCTTCCTCACCTACTATAGGAACCTCTACTCTACTCTAGAGGCAAGCTAACCCAAACAGAGATGATGAAGATGGGAGGTCCCTGGCATCTGACACCAAAAGGATGTTGGGAATGAGAGGGATTGCCCTGCAAAAGCTGTGCTCCAAAGTACACAATAAGAACAAGCAGAACATTTTACAAACACTTTGAGACTCTAGCCACAAATCGTCTACAGCAATGCCACAAAACGACAGCTACCTCGAGAGAGGAAAGTACGCATGCAGATACAAGTGTTGGAGCCTGGGTACCGATCAGAATAAAATCTGAAGTTGGGGAGGAACCCTGTTTCGTTGGCCTCCCCCTGACTTTTCCATCCGAAGCTGACGCCTCCATCACGCCCCTAAAGGCACAAACTCCAAGGTGTCCCCTTCTAATTTTTAAGGCTAGAGCCTTAGAATGAAGTTGCCATCTGCTGTGTGAGCTCAGATCCTCGTTCCCCTCGAGGGGGCGAGGATCCTGCCCTGGGGGCTCCCACCTGGGAGGACATAGCCTGCAGTGTACCCAGCAGGGTGAACGTCACGGACAGGGGGCGGGGAAGGGACGCCGAGGCCGCTCACCTGGCCCACAGAGCCGGCTGAAGTGGTAGGGGTTGCAGCACACGGTGGGGCCGTCGGCGGCGGCGAAACTGTGGCAGCCGCACAGGGGCTTCAGCTCCACGGCGTGCTGCAGGTCGGGCCAGCGGAAGAGGCGGCCGAGCAGCAGCTGCGGCGGCGCGGGCTGGCCGCCCAGGCGGAGATCGGCGCGCGGCACCAGCACGCAGCCGCCCGGCACGCCGCCGCGGGACTCCACCGCCTCCAGCAGCGTGTCCAGCGAGCGCTCCTTGAGCCGCTTCAGCAGCGAGTACGTGACCGTCTTCAGTTCCTGCTCGAGCAGCAGCAGCCGCGAGCGGGCTTCGCGGCTCCGCCCGCCGCCCGGCTCCAGGGCCGCCCCGGCCAGGGGGGCGCCGGTGTCCCGGGGCGCGCCGGCGGCGTCCCGCTCCGAAAAGAGACAGCAGGTCACCGTCTCGCAGTCGCTCTCGGGCAGCCAGCCCGGGCCTCCCGGCTCGGTCACGTCCAGCGGGGAGCCCCCAGCACCAGCCCCCAGCTCCGACATGGGCCTCGGGGGGCCCCCTGCACGCCGGCGCCTCCCCGCGCTCTGGGCGCCTCGCGGTCCCACCGCGTCCCGGGGCCGCCGTGGGGCTACCGGGCGGACTTCGGAGCGGCCGAAGCCTCCGCCCTCTCGTGCCCGCGGGGCCGGCTCAGCTCGGTTGCCCAAGCTCCCATCCTCGTCGCCGCCGCCGCTGCCGCTGCCGCCGCCTTCCTCCCGATCGGGGACCACACGACTTCGCCAAAGTCGCCGCACCAGCCCCGAGCGTTTGGACCTGAACATACGATATCCTTTGGCGCCGGGGGTGGGGAGGGAGGCGGTCTCCGGTTACCAGGGGTCCGTTCCCTCAGCGAGGCGCCGGCTGAGCGGGCCGCAACCCCACATGAAGCTCCGCCGCGGGGCGCCGTGCAGACCGCGCACAGCCTGTCGTCGAGGGGGCACAGCAGGGCTGCAACATGAGGGAGCTCTCCGGGGCGGAACGGATGGGAACACGCGCGCGCCGAACCGAAGTCCGCGCGGGGCCAGCGGCTACTTGGACCGCGGCAACCCGGCTGCTCAACTCCAGCCCCCCGCGCCTTAGGGGGCTGCAAGCGGCGCGCAGCTAGGAAGAGCCCGCATGGGCCGGCGAGCCTTCAAAAGTTGCGCGGCTGGTCCATGAGCACAAAGCGCTCGCGCCGAACCCCTAAATGGGTCTAGAAAGCTCTTCCCCGAAAGCCCAAGCGCTTAATCACATGGGATTTTCCTGCAGGATCCGAAAGGCGGGCTGTTGATACCCTCAGGTCCCTGCAAAAAGAAAAAGAAAAAGAAAAGATCCCAAACAAAACCCAAATCCCTGGGTTTGCATGCACGAAAGTCCAACTCCGTCTCAGGTCCTAGGCGCTAGATGCACTTGGAGCGAGTTTCTCTTGAATGCGGGTGTCAACACATGAGTGGAAGCTGTAAAAATCCCGAAGAGCTGCTGGGAATCCTTAATTAAAAATGCAATCCACCGAGGCAGAGGTCGCAGCCCGCCCCCACGCAGCGCTCGGACGCTCCGGGCGCCGCGGCTGCCGAGGTCGCCCCCCTCCCCCCTCCACAAAAGTGCCTCCCGGTGGCCCCGCGGTCCCAGCGAGCTTTGGAGAGGCAGCGCCCGGCGGCTCTTTCTCTCGGCTCGGCTCCCTCGCTCGCTCCCCCGCTCGGCTCGCTCTCTCTCTTTTTTGTTCTCCTCAAACGCACACTGAGGGCCCCCGGAGGAGCGCCGCGGAGTCATTGGCTGCCTCCCATCATATGCCAGTCTAGACACTTTGGCGGCTCCGCGGCGCTGATTGTTGCGCAAACAAGGTTTCAAGTTTCTTAACTCTTAAAGGAGAACACGTCCCATTGCAGGGCCCGAGGCTCCGAGGGGCTGGCTCCCGGGGCGGGCCGAGCCCCGGCCCCCGCCCCACGCCCGTCCCAGCACCCCCGCCCCGGGGCTGACAGCACCCGCGGCTCGCTTTCTGGCTCGCGTTGCGCCTCGGGCACGGATACGAACACACACGCACACACACACACTCTCTCTCTCTCTCTCTCCCTCTCTCTCCCTCTCTCTCACTCACACGACTGCACACACCATGGGAGAGCCAACCCGAGACTCGGACTCAAACTTGGTGCTTTGCGTCTCCAGCTTGTGCACAAACTTACAAACACAAATTGCACTTTAGAGTCTGTCCAAGCCCCCACCCATCCCAGCGCAAGCTAGTAAAAATGGGTGTGCGTGTGCGCCTTCCTGCCCCGCATCTGTCTCTGGGGAACAGGGGGAAGCCGATAGGATGGAGTAGCGGGATCGTCTGTGACAGCCTTGAAGGCTCCACACCCCCTGTGCAGAGTGGGGTCGCTCTGCTGGAGTAAACGGGGGGTATGGGACGCTTCTCACAAGGAGGTTCCAGGCTCGCCCGACGTGGGGACTTTTAGAGAGGGTAGGGTAGAGGTGAGGAGTGTGTTCTCGATGGCTTCTCTCTGTCGCCACAGCCCTCCCTCCAATCGAGGTAGGCTGCTTGCGGTTCTGGGGCCCTCTCGAGGCTTTGTGCTCTCTTCTTCCCTTTCGCCAATTCACTCAGTGCTCCTCCGAGAGGGATGTGGGTAGAGGGTCGTGCTTTCCCCAGCAATGCTGCACCACTGAAATGGGACTGAGTTAGTGATGAGGTTGGGGACGCGGTGGCAGCGGCAGCCGGACGCCCGGCGCGGGAAGGGTTAAGGCCGCTCCTGCCCTGGAGCCGGCGCGGCGGGGTACCTCCTCGGGCGCGCTCTCTCGTCCGAGGGTGGCAAAAGTTCAAGCTTGTAAAGTCGGGATTGGTCCCGCGCGGAGGGGAAAAAGGCCTGGTTTCCCCTCCCCCTCCCGGGCGTGGCGCCGATTGGCCGGGCCGCGGGGCCGGCACCGCCCTCCCCTGGCGCGCAGCGGCCCCACCCCCGGCGCGGCGCCCCGCCCCTTTCCGGGCAGGAGCCCGGCCCAGTGCTGAATGAAAGAAATTCCGCTACTCTCATTGGCCCCGGGCTGGGCGCCATTCCCCGCGGGCGGCAGGGGCGCCGACGCGCGGTCTCTCTCCCCGTGCTCACGCTTGGGGCTGGCGGCGTTAGTGCGCGGCAGTGTGTGCACGAGGGGAGGACTTTTGCAGGAACGTCTCAGAACCCTTTGCTGAACATTACCTGGAGCCAGGTAGTGTTTGCGCCGCGCTCGCTAGAAGAGGCGGTTGCCTCCCGGGAAGATTTGGACTGAGAAATGTCTCCACACCCATCCCCTACCATGGCCAAAGTAGAATCGCTGTCCTGGCATCGTTCCTCCCTTAAAGATGCGGGTGATGACACCCGCCCTGCATGCTTCCCAGAATCATGAAGATTCTAGGAAACAGAATCTTGCTTGGTGCGCAAATCCAAGTGAACAGCAAGCACCCCAAAAGCCTGTCTTGTTGTCCCTTCCAGGCACTTCTCGCCCCTGGGGAAATTGATGCATCTTAAAATACAAGGAGAAACTAAATGTATTTTCTTTTATAAAGGTATTTGCTGCTTTGGCTGTAAATTTGGGTTACAACTGATAATAGTGGATGGTTATTGGATCTTTACTATGGGTTGGGCAGTGCTCCAAGTATTAGCTGGACTTACTCAATTCTCACAGTCACCCTAATAGGTATTGTTTTGTCCTGGTACTGATGAAGAAACTGAGGCACAGGAAGTTGACCATTTACTTTGCCATTGAAACGACGGTGGTGTTGGGAGTGCTGCTAAGATACTGAAATCAGAAGGGCATACTCTGTCGTGTGTGCCTGCCCCAACAGCTGCAAGTGGTCTGTGCTTCTGTATTACCAGAGCACAAGTTTTAACGGAGTGACTTTAGCTGCATACAAGAACTTGCACAGGTTGTACTTAGTGACAGGCAGGATTTCAACTCAACCAGTTTGGCTGTGAAGGGTACACAATGGGATGCAAAGGAGAGGGGGACTCCGGAAGGAGAGGCTACCTGCAAGGACTCCCCTCCGGGCAGGGATGGCTTCCACAGATGTTCAGTGCATACCTCTGGACAAATATGTGAACCCTGGCTCCTCTGTCCCCTCTTCCACCCCCATACTCCCTGAGGCACAGTGGCATCCCTAAGGTGTGTGGGCCTGTGCTCCCCTGGCCTCAGTCCCAGAAGAGACTGAAGCACTAGCCTGGGCTGCCTTTTCTTTTTTCTTTCTTTTCTTTTTTTTTTTTTTCCACTAACTTAGGCGAAACTTAGCCTTGGCTCTTGCTGGCTGTGAGATGTTGGAGGGATTGCTGAGGAAAGGCACTGAAACCAGAGTCCCTAGACCTGAATTCAGCAGACCCTGCTTACCTCCCCCACCTCTAAGCCTCAGGTTCTCATCTGTAAAATGGGAATGAGAACCATGCTAGAGGTGGTTGCCCAAATTAAATAACAGGAGGCCCCAGAGTCAGCCCTCATTCCAGGAGGCCTGCATGAGTGCCCAGTGTCAGGAAGGGAAAGGCAGTGACAGCCCTACTGTCCTTGACTTCCCAGGACCCATCCAGCTTAGTGCCTGGCATGCAGTGTGACCACTAGGGGGTGTGTGCAGCGGGGCCAGCAGGGCAGGGTCACCCAGCTACAACTTAAGGACCCCTGCCCTCCTAGATCTCCACACCCCAGAGAACAAGCTCTTGTTCTCTGGGGCATAGAGAAAGGAGAGAGAAAGAGGAAGGGGTCCCAGCTGCTCATTCTTGAGGCTTTGCAGCGGAGTTCTGGCCCCTCCCAGTCACTTCTGCCCCATTTCCCCCAAAGCCTCCTCTTCTCCTTCATAATACCAATCCTAATTCCCAGCTATCCAGTTCCTTATCTTTTCTCTCTCCTCTAAATGGAAGCCCACAAGGGCAGAGATGGTGACCCTGTCAGGCCATGCCACCCACAGCAGCACACAGGCACTGAGTCAGAAATAGGCCATTTGATGCTCTCTGTCTGTGCCACCAGAGACACCAAATCACACAAGACAGCACCCCCCATCTCTTTCAGTCCCCAGCACAACTCTTGCCATATAAGGGGCACTCAGTGAGCATTTTGGAGGTGGTTGAATTAAAAACTCCCGCTTCAGCAAGCTCCCCATCATCCCTGTGCCAAGCATCAATAAACACTGTCTCTTCCCATCCTCCCAACCATACAATGCAGGCCTGGCTCTCCTTAGATGAATAAGAAACAGAGGTTCAGCAATTTGTTTCTGGCCACATAGCCAGTAGATGGCAGAGTTGAGACTTGAACCCAGGGCTGTTAGAGGTAAGTGTGCATCTTCTTAACACCTGGGTCTAGAAAAGGAAACTGTCCTTTGTGCTTGGGAAGTTTCCACTGTAGCTGGGAAGGCACAAGGCATGAAAAGCAGACATCCTGCAAGGTACAGCTTGCTTCTGGGTGATGGAAAGGAGGCAGGATCTAGGGGCTGCTGCCTGCCGCCTCTTGCTATGATCAATGGATTGACAGGGAGACAGACTCATCAGAACCCGCTTCATAGGAAACTAATGGCTAAACCAGGATCCTACTATTAACTATGGAGAGCAGCTATGGCTCAAATTTTATAGACCAGCCACTAGTCTATAACCAGGGTCATCTGGCTAAGTGGAACCTCTTTGGAAGGCAAATCTACTTGGTCCACATGGCCCCAAATGGAGGAGTTGGAGCACCCTTGGGAATAGCAGACAACCCTTCTGCAACTCTGATAGATGCTACGGACTCTCTCCAACCACATATGTGATTGCAGCTTTGTGTTCATACTTCTTGAGCACCTGCTGGGTTCCCAGCCCTCTTCTAGGTGCTGGGGAAGCTGCAGTTAAGCATAGCACAGGAATTCCTGAGCTCAAGGAGTCTGGTGGGGAGAGACAGAGAACAGGATGATCAGGAAGGGCAATGTACCAGAAGGCCAAGGTGCCAAGGTCAAGTGCAACGCAGAGCAGTGAGAACTGCTGGAAGAGGGCAGGTTGTGGTTCAGAGGATGTGCTCGGGGAAGGCTTCTGGGAAAAGTGACATTGGGCGGACTAGTACAACACTGTCTGCCTGTGGTAAGCTGCAGGGAAGGGAACAGCGTGCACACAGCCCTGCAGCAGGAGCGTGCCTGGAACGTTCCTAGAACTGGAGGCAGACAGGTGGCCATTGGGAGCCCCTGGAGGTCCTGAGCAGGGGAGGGACAGGATCTGCCTCCTGGGTTTTTGTTATCTTGTTTTGGTGTGTGCTGGAGCGCCAGCCCAGGGCCTCAGGCATTCCAGACAAGCCCCTCTACCACTGAGTGACACTGACACCCTAGCCCTGCCTTCTGTTCTCACACCTCCCCCTAGTGGCCATATGGAGAACAACCGGCAGACTGGTAGGAGGCCTTGGAGTGGTCTAGGCTGGTAGAGGCTTGGACCATGGTGGCAGTGGAGCCAGATCCGGGACATGTTATATGTCAGCAGCTGGCATATCTTCAGAAACAAACATACAAGAACATCTGACAAGGATGCCCGTGTTGTTAACACTTATTTATTGAATCTTTTTAATCAATTCATGACTTTTCTTTAGCCCTTGTCATACATGATAATATCCACAAAGTCATAAATGTTTCATGTGTGTGTGTGTGTATATATATATATATATATACTTTAAGTAGCTATGTAAATATATTCCTGTATTAAATACATAAAGCTGTGTATCCATACATCACCTCAAATTATCCTGTAGACCACAGTGTATGCGTAATGTTGCAAACACTAATTCCTAGTTTGACCTCTTTTAAGTTTTCTGCTTGCTCACTCACTTGCTTTTTACCACTGTTT